TTCATCCTTGAGTTATTTCACCTTTCTGCTTCCATTTGCATATGCTCTTGCGTATGCTTGGCAGGACAAGAAATTTCCAGCCTGTCCTTCTCCAAAGTACTTCAGTAAAAGACATCTGTAGTCCTATGATTGCTTGGAATATTTAATACTTAATTTTCAAAGCCTCAGTTGAACACATGTTATAACTGAGCTGATATCCCAAGTCCACAACAGTAAATCTAGCTCCACCTGGATTTGACAGCTGAGGTATGCAGAGCCTGAAAAATTATCTAAAATTGGTGCGTTATTTCTTCCTATGAATTTATTTTTGTCTCCTATGTTTTACAGAAGTAGGTAGCTCAGAAAAGTTCTCAAAGAATATTTATTCAAGCTTTGTTACCTGTTTTTAATGAAGCTAGTCAATCCCATGAACTTCCTCATTTCCTCCTATTTTTTCATGCCATGTCTTATCACAAGTGTTCAAGCTCTTAGAAAAAAAACCTAAAGCTCAAACCAGCACTTGCTCCTGAATCAGGTCTGTTTCAAAATTCACCAAAATACCTACAGCTCATACACAGTTTTAAAAAACTAGTCTGCCCCCTGGAGACTCACTTATATGTGGCACTTCATAGGCACCTGAATTTTTTATAGACTTAAGGGCTTTTGGTTGAGTTTTCTAGGTATTTTTGATGAAATATTTTCCACTATAGATACTGATTCTATGAGACAATTGTCTAAGACTGTTCACTATATTTCTTTTTTTAGAAATTTTTTATTTTGTGTTGGGGTATAACTGATTAACAATGCTTTGATCATTTCAGATGAACAGCGAAGGGACTCAGGTATACATATACATGGATCCAGTATCCCCTAATGCCCCCCTCATGCAGGCTGCCACATCACGTGGAGCAGAGTTCCATGTGCTATACTGGAACACATAGTAGGATGTGCATGTCCATCCCAAACCCTCCAACTATCCCTTCCCCCGCATCCTTCCTGACCCTGGCAACCATAAATTCATTCTTTAAGTCTGGATTGTTCATTACATTTCTTAATCCATATTTTCTTAAATTGCTATATTCCTTAACTTCTTTCAGTAATAAGTAGTGAACAGCTATTTATCATTTGTTGCTGTTGTTGCTGTTATTGTTTAGTTGCAAGTCATGTCTGTTAAGCACTCTCAAAAAAACTAAGGTTAGAATATCCCTGGTAATGAGTCTACAGGGTCTTTCCAATACAAGTAAACAGTAACAAAATAAGAGCCATAAATTGAGCAAAAGTCAAATTGCCTTAGTATTACAGTGAACAAAGACCACCTTCACTTCCCAAACCATATTATTAAGGAGAATCAGAAAAACTCAGGCATCATTAACCTTCAATATTTTTGCTGTACTGTGAAAGGGGGCAGAATCAGTTGCCACTATCTTTTATTCATTCACTATCATCGCTTCATCCGGTCCCCACATCCACAAAGTTCAAGAAACCTTCCTCCCAATTCCTCCTCCCCACCTGCTTTGCCTTTTTCATATTGTTCATGGGGTTCTCAAGGCAAGAATATTGAAGTGGTTTGCCATTCCCTTCTCCAGTGGACCACGTTTTGTCGGAACTCTCCACCATGACCCATCCATCTTGGGTGGCCCTACATGGCATGGCTCATGGTTTCATTGAGCTAGACAAGGCTGTGATCCATGTGATCAGTTTGATTAGTTTCCTGTGATTGTGGTTTTCATTCTGTCTGCCCTCTGATGGAGAAGGATAAGAGGCTTATGGACGCTTCCTGATGGGAGAGACTGACTGAGGGGGAAACTGGATCTTGTTCTGATGGGTGGGGCCATGTTCAATAAATCTTTAATCCAATTTTCTGTTGATGGATGGGGCTGTGTTCCCCACCTGTTGTTTGACCTGAGGTCAAACTATGGTGGAAGTAATGAAGATAATCTCCTTGGGAAAAAAGGTATGACCAACCTAGATAGCATATTAAAAGGCAGTGACATTACTTTGTCAACGAAGGTCCATCTAGTCAAAGCTATGGTTTTTCCAGTAATCATGTATGGATGTGAGAGTTGGACTATAATGAAAGCTGAGCACCGAAGAACTGATGCTTTTGAACTGTGGTGTTGGAGAAGACTCTTGAGAGTCTCTTGGACTACAAGGAGATCCAACCAGGCAATCCTAAAGGAAATCAGTCCTGAATAGTCATTGGAAGCACTGATGCTGAAGCTGAAACACCCAATACTTTGGCCACCTGATGCNGAACTGCCATATGACCCAGCAATCCCACTTCTGGGCATACACACCAAGGAAACCAGATCTGAAAGAGACACGTGCACCCCAAAGTCCCCCCAAGTTACAGTCACTTTCTCATCGCTAGTCAGTCCCTCTCATAGGAAGAGTTTAGCTCTGGTTCATTGTCACTGTCTCCCATATTAGTTTTGCCATACATTTTAGTGATTTCAGTGACCCCAAAGGTAATCAATCCTTCCCTACACCTTTATCTTTCAGCTTCTTGACCTCTTCTGGTCTACTTATCTTGCATTCAGAACAACCTCAGTTACTCTCTCCCAAGGGACATGTTTTAGACTTTAACATGAGCAGGACCCCCCATAACCTCAATTTCAAGAATCTCTCTTTCCAACCACCACTTTCTATTCTTCTATTCTACTGTCTCTACTGATCTTACTCCAGCAGTGCCTTGGTCCTCTGCATGTACAGTTCACTGATCCTTCCACTTTTCACTGTCCTTCTGCCTCCTCCTTTTCCTGGCTTTAGTCCTCATTCTCCTGCCTGCTCAGCTTCAACCCCAAAGTCCACCATTACGATCACCCCTTTGCATAAACCCTCAACATCATTGCCTCTTCTTTGTATCTTATGCCCTTGAGAAACCCCACCTGGACTTGCATGGCTGAACACAACGGGAAGAAAAACATCCAACCATGGAGATGGTCTCTTCAAATTTATTAGCACAAATCTCAAGCAGATCCTTAATGCTGTCTAGCCATTCTGATGCATTCCTTTGGCCCATTCACTCTTCTACTCTCCTAGAAATTCTCTCTCTCCTCAAACTTTCAACACCACTCTTTCATCCTCCCTAATAGCTGATATGACCTTGCTTCTGATCTCACTGAGCATACAGAAGCAGTAGAAAACAACTTCTAAAAGATACTGCTTCTGTCACCCTATCAACCCAACTACCAGCCTCAAAGTCCGTGCACTCTGTCTTCTTTCATGTTACTCTCCTCTTGGGTCTTCCAGAAATCATTGCAGGTATTTTTTCCTCTACTTGTCTTAACCATTGTTTTCCCTTCTCAAAAGAATTTCTCCATCAGCATTTTAAGTGTGCTGTTGTTTCTTCCGTGTGTTACAGCACCCTCTCTGACCACACCTGCCTGTCCAGCTTCCATTCCATTTCTCTACTTCTCTTTATAGAAATAGTTATCAAAAGAGCAGCTGCCTGCCCTTCTCTTTATATGTTCTCTTGAACATATTCCAGTCATGTGTCAGTGAACCCCTCACTGCTTCAAAATGGATCTTTTCAAAGTCACTAGTGACTTGCATGCAGCTAAACTGAATGATCAATTCTTGACTCTCATCTTGCTTGACTCATGAGCAGCATTGACAGAGTATGGCTCTATCTCCCTTGAAATGTTGGGTTCTCGGATTCCCTATTCTCCTGGTTTTCCTCATCTGTTTTTTTGGAAAAACAAACAAACAAAAACACCCCAAAAAAACAAAAAGCCACTGCTTGTTTTCAATGTTCTTTGTTGGTTCTTCCTCATTTTCTCAACTTCTTAATGGACTTCCCAGGTCACAGACCATGTTCTTCTGCTTTCTGTACTATTTATACTCACTCCCCTAATGTTCTTATCCAGTTTCATGGCTTATGCAATATATACATGTTGATGACTCCTACGTCATCCTACATCCAGCTCAGATCTCACTTCTAGACTCAAGATGCATATATCCTTTTGCCTATACACATATATGTCTTTTCTTGGATGTCTAATAGGTTATCTCAAACTTAATATGTCCCAAACCAATCAGCTCTCTCCCCTCCTAAGTCTCTCTCCCTTCATTCTTCCACATCTCACGTACTGGCAATTCCATCTTTTCTGTTGCTCAGGCAAAAAACCTTAGCGTCATCTTTGACTCTTTTCTCTTGCAACCCAAATAGAATCCGACAGAAGATCTGCCAGGCTCAACCTTCAGAACATAGCTATAACCTGACCACCTCTCACCACGTCCTCAGCTACCATCCTGGTCTAGACTCTCTTAGGTTACAGAAATAGTTCTGATGATGTCGAATTGGCTCAACAGCAAAGTGGCCATTTCCCTTGTCTGGGGGATGGCAAGAAGCTGTATGATGCCCTAAGCTCCACACTCAGATTTTAACATTTCAGATGTATTCTTATGATGTTAAAATCGCCATCTTTTCTTAGTTGTCTTTAAATATTTATCTTGTGCCTAAAGCATTTAAGTACATTATAAAAGTATATGTGTGTGTGTGTGTTAGTCCCTCAGTCGTGCCCGACTCTTTGTGACCCCATGGACTGTAGCCCACCAGGCTACTCAGTCCATGGAATTCTCCAGGCGAGAATAATGGAGTATATAAATACATTAAAATAGAAACACACGAGAAAATTAGGGAAAGGGGAGATAAGGATAGAAGAAAATTCATATGATGTCGCAGGTGCATTGCACGCACAGCCACATGCCATGAGGTTGTGTACCCTTGCTAGAAAGGGAATAATAACAGAGAAGTCTCTTCCTCTAAGATGTGCTTTAATATCAGATTTCTTTTTGCTTAACAGGCCTGAAGAAGACATCATGATCACAGTGGCTCCTTGGGCCTGAGTGGCAGAGGGCTGTGTGGGGAAGGAAAGGAGAAGGGTTGTGTGCTCAGAAGAAGTGAGGCAACATTGGTCAGGAAGACTGGGTCCTGACCTACACCCCAATCATTCCCTGGTATTCCCTCCAATCTCCCACCTCCCAGCTCACCCCTACATGTTACCCTGAGTACTTACCAAGACCCAAGCAAGAAACTCTGAGTCCTGATTTTCCAAGATTCCTAAAATAAAAATAAAGCAACACATGGTCATCATTTCCTCAGGTAGAATTTTAACTGTGAGTATTAAATCTCACTTAAAATTTTTTTAATTGAAATATAGTTGATTAACAGTGTTGTGTTAGTTTCAGGTATATAAACGTTTGATGACATTGTTCTTGACTAGAGCTGTGGAAGGGGCAGAGCTCCAGATGCAAGCCTGTGATTTGGGGAAGAGGCTCTTTCATCCCTATCTGGGCAGTAGAAAGTCCAAAATGTTCTTAGGCTCAGCACAACAACAAAGAGTCCCCCAAAACACAGCTTTTCAGCCCTATTGGTCTTCTTCATCAGTTTCTTACAAGTGTAATATCTCTCTTCTGGAGGGCAAGATTTGTAGATTATTTACCCATCAGTCATTCTTCATTCATCAATCGATCCTGGCCCATAGTGGACCCTTAATAAACATTTGTTGGCTGAGTAACAGATGAACTGATCTTTAAAACAAACTATTACTACAGATGGATAGGGAATATTAAAAGAACAAATACAAGATAATCCTTTAGGCTATTTAAACTAAATTAGATTACTTTTATTAAAAAACTACACAAAATTCCTACAAAAAGGTCAGACAGTCCTTAAATGATTCTTCCTCTCCTCAACATTTTTGCTTTGCATCCTTAAAAGTTGATCCAGGGAGAGGAAATATATTTTCATTCTTTAAGTAGAAAAAGAACTAGGTGCTCTAATCTTAACTGTAAGGTGTTTGTGGAAACCCAGACCCAACCCATCTTCCTGTCATCTGCCTAAATGCCATCAGAGAAGAAATTGAATTCTCAGAGAAAGGATGTCTCATAGATTTTTGTAGAGATCCACTGTGAAGAGATGAAGCTGACATTATTGAAACATGGTAGAAAAGTGTATTCCTTCCTTTCTGATCAGATGCTTTTATGATAATACAGCTTTTCTTCCTGCTTCTACCCAAACAAAATAGAACCAACTTTTCTAAAAAGTTTTCTACAGCTCAGTTCTTCCAGATTCTGTCTTGATTATCCCGCAGTTTGGTTTCTTTAGAGCCAGTAATCAGTGCTCTTATTTTTGCATCTATTTCTTTCCCCTGCTTGCTACTGTCTATAAAATTCCACCTAAGCAACACAGTTCCTTTCCTAGCATGGTCCAAAGGACATTACACTGCAAAGAGTTGAAAGATCCAGATTTTTGTGACTTTGCTGCAACCAGCTATGTGGCCTTGGAGATATCACTTCCTTCCTTGGACTTTAATTTCTTCATAGTAAAATGGGTAGTAATGTCTATGCCATTCATCCAGCATCGCTGTTGTGGGACTGGAACATGATAATGTATGCTAATGTGTTCAACAGTAAACAAATGCAAAAGCATAATTATTTTTGGTGCCTTCTTCTTATGCTGTCAGAGACATAGCGCTAAATTTTCCATATGAATTGGATGTGTCCACCTGGCAGGAAACTATTGCATAAAGGTGTATGTGAAAAATATTTTGAACTGCTAAGTAGGAGAAAAATACTTGGACCTTTCCCATGAAATTAATTTGCATAAGGAATTGTTCTTTTAGTAGTTTCTCAGAAAACCACAGGATGTACAGCTAGAAGCTTTGCATTGTGGTCTAAAAGTCTACTGATTTTAAAGGGTAGGAATCTAGAGTGAAAGCTATATGGTGGGGTGTATAAAAAAAGACCTACACCAGAATAAAAAAAAAAAAAATCAAAGAAATATATAAGTGAATAACACTCTTCCAGGTAGAGATATTTGACATTGATGAATTACTGATTTATCGACAGATTACCATGTTCAAAGCAATGGGCAAGGTCTTGAAGACACAAAAGAGCAATCGTGTAATCACAACGCAGTGGGTGATGTCCTCCCATGGAGGTTCTTGGGAGGACATGGAGGAGCTACCTCAGGTTTGCACTTGCATAACTATGTGGGTGTCGGGGGGGAAAGATCTAGGCAAGGAATTTCATGTAATTTTCATATCTTTCCGTGACTTTGAGCACAATAGGGAACAGGAACTTGGTGCAGAAAATGAAGCAGAGGAAGAAACTTTTCTAACAAACTCAAATAGGGCAAGATTATGACACTGGGCACTTACCAAGCAGCATCTCAGCACCCAAGGTAGGGAGACCTGCTCTAAGGTCCCTTATGCCAGGGATCTAGGGAGACAGTGACCACTCTGATATGGGTTTGGAGGGCCAAACTTGAGAAACTTGGGAACTGCCAGCCAAGACAAACTGCAAAGTAGCAAGTACTCAACCTAGCCCATGTTATTGCCACTGCTGTTTGAACACCAGGCCAGCTTTTCTGGAATGAAAGCCTTAGAAGATTTTGCACTATCAGAAAAGTTCAATCACAGACAAATATTGATAGAGAGGTGATAGGTCTCACATTGAGGCTTGGTGTTTTAACTTTAACTTTTTCACAGATTATTTTTTTTCTCTCTAAGTGGAACGATTGGGCTTTCCTGTTGGCTCAGTGGTAAAGAATCTGCTTACCAATGCAGGAGACACAGTCTGATCCCTAGGTTGGAAAGATCCCTGGAGAAGGAGATGGCAACCCACTCCAGTATTCCTGCCTGGGAAATGCCATGGTCAGAGGAGTCTGACAGGCTACAGTTCATGGGGTCACAAAAGAGTCAAACACAACTTAACAACTAACAACAACAAGAATAAGTGGAATGATTACCAAATTCAGTTAGCTGTTTTTTAAAGTGAGAGGTATTTTGTGTGCCTAAGCCATGCCTGGTCTCTAAGTCCGTTGCCCTTACTTTTTGCAGGGATAAGTCTCATTGTGAGGCTCCTCCCCGGTAAAGCACTCTTGCCACTCACTTAGCAGATGGAGAAGATAGGAGGAAATAACTTCCTCCAGTTCATGTGGATTTCCAACACAATTTCCTTGATTCCAAATGGCATATCTCCACCCAGCCCACGTTCCTGTCTGCACAATACTAAGCGGAGGTGGGGTGATTGCTTAGCCACTTTGATCCATTTAAGCTCTGCTGGGTAATAGAAGCCCAAATACTTGACACATTTGATCTAATGAGTCCAGAATACATCATCCAAAAGCTTGCTTGTGTGGCTAGAGCACCAGATAATGGCCAGGTTTACACATCACACTGGGCTGTGACAGGTGTCCTGGAACCTTCTGTATCCAGCTCAATGGAATTTTCATGCACACTTCATGACCTTGTGTGACATTGTGCATTGAAATAACTTAATGTAGTTGCATTTTATCTCTTAATTCCTCAGCATTAGCACAGGTGAGGCTACCAAAAAAATTCTGGAAGCACATCAAAAGTCCGAATACATAGAATTTCTCTTCCATTTAATTCAAAGCAGTTGCACTGCACTAGTTTCCCTATTTTATCTGTGTCAGACATACCAGAAGAAAGTCTCACTGTGTTCATTTTTAGTATATGCTCCTGTTCAACTCAAAATAAAAGCTCCTCTTTCCCAAGTGAACCTGAGCTGCTCAGCTGCTAATATTAGAAATGAATGACATCAATATGGGGGCACGGGACACTTAGCTTTGTCAGTCAAATTTTGGAAATCCTAAACCTTAAGTCAAAGCCTTGGGAAAGTTACTGGAGAAGGGATATAGCTTCTTGAGAAGCCAAAGGTTGCATTTCTTCTTTCTAAAGACAGAATTGTTCTCTCGGTGGCTGAACTTGTTTTAGGACAATGGTTAGTCCCATGACAGATTCATTAAATATAATTTCTAGTGTTGTTTTGTGGAGCATCCATCATGCTCTTTTTAAGACAATAACAGAATTGTAAGAACTGAAATCAAGTGTCACTTAGGCACAGTATCAAATGCCATTTGATGTTTACAGGTCCTTTACAAATCAAAGATGCTAAAAGCAGAAAGTTAGCAGCCTAAATGTGTTGTTTTAAATTGCTTGCTTCCTCATACGTGTATCTTAGACACTGTTTACAGTAAACTGCTTGGAAGAAAGGAACAGTTGGCTAAAATAGGTACCTTGCATTTGACCAAGAAAGATGCATGTTGCACAGGAGAAAAATCCCTTATTTGGAGGCTGACACAGCAGAGACAAGCTGAAGGCACATGTAAAGGGCTCAGTGGCCTTGTCAAGCCGGCAGAAACAAATTTGGCTTGACCTGGTTTTCATGGGCTCAGATCATTACATCATCTGCTGTTTTAGTCTAGCTGAACATCTTTCTGATCCTTCTAAATCACATTCTGCTATGTGCGGGGCCTTATCTGGAAGCTACTAGTCAAATGTGGGGTGTGGAATGGAAAAAAAAATGTACAGTTAACCTGTTTTGAAAAATACAGAGCAGAAGGTATGTTCATTTGTCAGCCAGCTGGTTTTTATAGTTGTGTGAGAACATACATTTTAACCACCATAAAGGTGACTACAAATGGTAATAATGTTTTCATATGAGGGCACTGTTCATCACTGTTGACAGTGATAAATGATTCATTTGGAAACCACCAGGCATATAAATGATTTAGCCATGCCTTTTGATGACAGACATTGATAAGTAGCACAATGAAACTTTGTTTCATTCCCTTCTTTATCTAAGTAGCAGCAAAGTAGAATGGAATTCTTTCAAATTCTTTGATTTAAAGGTTCAAGCCATTTATCTGTTGTAAATTCCAGCTAGATTCTTACTCATTTTCTTTGGACATATAAAAATCACCTGTTGATCTGTGCACTCTAGAGAAGCCTACACAAGTATAGCAAAAAGTGATCTCCCTATAGTTAATTAATTAGTTCAACAGAACTGTGTGTGACATTGGGCGGGTTACTTAAACTTTTTAAGCTTCTTTCCTCATTTATAAATGGGGATATTAATAGCTCCCTGCTTTTTCTTTCTTTCGGAGATTGAGAAAATATAAATCCAGAACCATTCCCAGGAAACTTTGGTGTTCAAAAAATGATCCTTTCTTCTTTTCTTATTTTCTAGGAAAAGTGGCATCTCAAACACTGAAGCTGGTGGGGTTCCGATTCAGGACTAAAGCTGCTAGAA